ACACACTACACANATATATATATATATATATATATATATATATATATATATATATATATATATAAAGTTTTGCCTTCGGTATCTTGTTTGCTTTACCAAGGATTTAAGCACCACTCCATACCAAATACTGATTCATCTTCAGATTGGTAAAACCTCGACATGGTTCAGTATGTCATAATTTTCCCACCAGAAGAAATAATGTATAAAATATTTCATGTGTTTGTATTACTTCAATATGATCAGTATAGCACCCGATAAGCCCCATGAATCGGGTGGTAAGTCCCTTCTTTTTTTTTTTTTTTCCTTTTTTTTAATTCAATTCATGATTAAAAGATGGAAAGTAAATTAGCAGTTTAATAGATTTAAAAGGTAAAAATAAGTATATGAAACAATAATGGTCAAACTTACACCCTCGTGTCTCCATTGTGGGATCAATTCATCCAAAGCACGAGGCTCAAAAACATTTCCTGATATAATATGAGCACCTGTAATCATAATCTATAAGTCAGAAGATGAAATAAACAATAACCCCTACTGCCACAGATTCACAGTCAATAATTCCAGTGCAAATCTAGTGAATGATATTGAAGAGCAAATAGCAAACAGGACTAAGAACAAAGTTCCATTACAAGTAATAGAACTTTCTAATAGTAACAAATATTAAGGAGTTGAAAAAAGTATATGACATCTATAAACAAGGCTTTAAATACCAGTCAGATACTGGTTTCAACAATGGGTCAGGCCAGTATGACTAACAACTAAGTGGTATGCAGATCTACATCATTCGGTATTGCTGGAGAAAATAATAATACATGACATACTGAGTGGTATCAAACCTATGATTTAATTACCAGTTTGGTCAGACTGATGACAGTAGGTCATTACATGCCAACTAATCATTATTTTAAATCATTCCTATAAACATGGAAGTTGTCACCAATAAACATTCCACCAGCATTAGATAATTGGAGTCAGTTAGACTTAAGCAACTGCTACGAGGCACTGTAGTGGAATGCTAGTTGTCATTTCTTCAACAGATTATAGAGAACACAAACAAATCGACAAATCGTCTGGCAAGACTTATCTTTCTCCTTCGGTAACTCTCTCTCCCTCCCTCTCCTAATCCCCTTTGGTAAGAAAACAAAATGTAATAAAAAGAATTATGGCTAAATTAATACATAGATCCATGACTAATGAGAATATCTAAATTTATATGGTCGCCAAGAGTAAGTGCAGTTGATGTTGTAAAGCAATGGCATATGTTCCAAACCTGAAGTAAACCAACTTGGTTTTCCTTACTATTGTTGGGGCACAAATTTCTTTGTTTCAACTTCAAAAATCTAACATTTTGAATATCCCAAAATGATCACTCCAGCAACATAACTGTTTCCTAATAATTCTGACAGAAATTGTGTGATTACAGGAAATGTGAGTTTTCTCTGTTTCATATACAAGACAAAGCCAGGATAACCTGTTTTTCTATTGGGGTTCCTTCTGTAGGTCCATTTGGTATGTGTAACCTCATCTTAATTCTCTTCTTCCACCCAACTACTCTTTTTGCTCATGTTTTTGAATCTTGTCTTTCTCCATCTGTGTGTTTGTATGTGCTTTTTTTTTTCCCTGGAGGGACAGCAGATGAAGGCCACTTTAATTGGTATAAGGGTAGACCAATCCTAAAACGGATTTTAGTAGAATTAGAGCTGGCAAAACATCAAACAACATACTGGAACATGCATACTTCCAGTTACTGCCAACTAGAACTGGATGTATCAACTCACTAAATTACAATTTTCAGTGAAACCAAGGTTTCAGCTCTTCCCCAAAAGGATTTGACATTCCCATGTTTTAAGTGTGTGCCAGCAGAGCAACAAAATACACAAAAACTAAAATGCAAACAAAAAAGATACTAAAAGTACATCTCGGTTGATCCTCCTCCAGTCTATTCTCTCTTTGGGCATTCCATCCCACCAGCAAAACAACACAAGGCTATCAGGTGGTGGTATCCACTGAAAACTAGAAATGTAGGATACATGTACAGCCCTCATTTAGGTCTTTAGAATTATTTTTCAAACCAAATAGATCCAATTTGTGTATCTAATATGCTGATTGGAACTGTTAGAATGGATAAATTATTTGGTCTCAAAAGCCCAATTTCAAGAAATTTTTTCCTTGACCAACTTCTGTAGTAAAGAAGATAAAAAGGATTAGTGACTAGATTTATCTAAAAAACAATTCTAAGATTAGCATCTATGCGGACAACGTGATAAATACTTGTGAACTCTCTGTAGTGGCTCATTCCTAGTTTAGACGGCTATCCAGGATGAATTTTAATTATATTGAACTGCTAATATCCAGAAATTTTGAAATTTTGGTTTCTATAAATTTTGAGTGACTCAATACTAGACCTAAAGACTAAAAAGACTTTAATTAAAACTAAAAATAAAGATTTAAAAATTTTCAACTTAACTATATATGATTTCTTTTATATATCTCAAGGCGACAAAAGATACATGCAGCCGACTCCCCGATAGTTGGATTTTACAGCTTTATTGTTGTTATTGTTGTTGTGTAATCCTAGATCGGATCATGCCCTCCATATTCAACAAACTTTTCATAGTAAGTATTAACATCAGAATTTGAAATTCTCCCTTAACCAGTCTATGTTTCTATCTGTTTCTTACATTCTGATTCAAATTATCATAAGCTATGAAAATGCATCAAGGATTCATGCACGCTCAGGAAAAAAAAGATGGAACCAAACAAACATAGCAAGAAAGTGCCTCATCCATTTGCTAATCTACTAAAGAAAAGAACGCCATAATTAAAACCTCACCGACTTCCGGACCCTTCTCCAAGACGCAAACGGAAAGATCGGCGTTCCTCTCCAGGCACATCTGCTTCAACCGTATCGCGGCCGACAACCCGGCTGGTCCCGCCCCCACGATGACCACATCGTACTCCAGACTCTCCCGGTCGCCCGACCCGCCGCATAGACCCCTGGTTCGGCTGACCACGCGGCGGCGCAGCCCTGGCGACCAGTCCGGGAAGCAGATCGAAGGCGCAAAACTCGCGCGACTCGGAGGATCTCTGAAGGAAGAGAACCGGTTCGACGGAATCGGGAGCCGCGATTCGGGTCCGGGGTATGGCGAGACGGATGAGATGATCGGGGTTTCGGCGCGGAAGGGGGAGAAGAAGGGAGACCGAAGGGGGCGGCGGGATTTGGAGGTGATGGCGGAGAGCGCTGATCTGTACATGGCGGAGGTACGGGGTGGCCGCCGGACGAGTTGCTCGGCTACGATGTATTGAAATGGATGAAGCCCCCCACGTTGCCAAAACGAACTAAACTCAGAAGGATGTGTTCAATAACTAAATCAACCTGCATCTGTCTAGTCTTATCTCTATCCGTTTTATGTTACACATGTAGTATAACAAAGGAATAAAAGCGATGGAGGCAAGTTGGTTCTCAAGACACATCTCTCTATCTCATAAGCGAGCCAAATCATCCGAACGTCTTATTACCTTAAGCATACAAGAAATCAATAGGGAGGGGAACCTCACGATTGAATCTTGCTCGCACAATCAAAATCAAATAGTTTATTTATAATTTTATAAAAAATTATAATACATATTATTAAATATATTTATAAATTATTATTATTATTATTATTATTATTATTTATTGTTTTACAAAATTCTAATTTTAGAATATGCCTTCACCACATAATTACAAGTGTTAATTTCGTGAGGTTCCCCTCCCTATTGATGTCATAATGTTCCTAAAATTATCACAAAATATTATATATGCATGTATGTAACTATGTATAATATGTTTTTTCTGTTTACTATATGGAAAAAAAATCTTAAATTTGATTGAATGTATGATATAATTGAATATATTAAGTACATATTGATATATAAGACTCGACCTTTCTTGGATCGACTAAATTATTCACAGAGGCTTTTCACTTCTCCTTTGGGGTGTGTGTGTGTGTGTGTGTGTGAGAGAGAGAGAGAGAGAGAGAGAGAGAGAGAGAGAGTGAGAAAGAAATCTTGACCAATTCATCATCACAATAGCATGTTACTTAGATGTGATGTAATTATTTTGAAGTAGAGAAACATTGCATACATCTAATGCATCAATATCTAATTCAGCAAATATTGGTGTGACAAGCAAGCAATTACATTGACCTGAATATTTGGAGTCTCATGAAGATGACAAGAATATAAGTTATTTTTTACCCATCCGAAATAAACATATTTATTTAATCAATTAATTGGTGCTACATCGATGTAAATGCATCAGTGATAGAAAGATCCACCCATCTTGATATGCCTGTTTTTGGATCTTTTTTGGCGTGCCAAATCGATTGGGCCATGCAACATAAAATCTGGTCATCATAGAACTTCCCATATTATATGTGAACAACACATACTTCTTGAGTTAATCATCAGTTATTCTATCGAATCAGATCGTATCAATCTAAATATGATTTTTTTTTTTGGTTGAATTTTTTTATCATTTGGATGCCACCAGAGACTCATTTATATCTTACACTAGGAATGTGAGTTATGATTTGAGTGGACCAATCCAGTGGGCAGCCATCTCACATTTTAAATTCAGATTGTTGTCCCCCATAGTTGACTTGTACAAGATGAACAAGAACAAAGGGAAGGCAACAAGCAGACGCCTATCATGCTTTTTCCTTTAGCTGTTTGTGATCTTCTTCCTATTTAGCTCTGCCCTTTCTTTGTCATGGAGTCTTCAGACAGTGCCTTGCTTCACCCTTCATCTGTGTTGGTGCCTTGCCTTGACGTTTAGTCTTCGGTAGTCTTCTTTATCACCATGGATAGACAGTATGGTGGTGAGCATCATCGATGAGGTGGCTTTTGGAGAGTTCAACTCAATAAAGGGATTGGCCAGTGGTGAGACAGAATGGGTGTCAGTGGCTGTCATTACACAATGTGCAGCTCCATCATCATTCAAGCAACCAGAAAAAGGGACACCACCACAAGAACTTGCTTTTGGGTTGAATGGAGGAGAGGCATCAGGTGAGTTCGGGCAGAACAATGATTTGTGGCTCTTCCTCACCGTTCCTTTTGCTGTCATGGGGTCGGTGCCTTGGTAATCTAACATGGCTTACTTCTGCTAGCTCCAGACAGGGAAGAGTTCACTGATTGTGTAGTGGAAGAACAGTTCTCCAACTGAGGCAGCTGCAGGAGAGTGCGGTTGAACAAACACCAACAAGTAAAAGCTTCAGAAAAGAAAATGATGGACCATCTGTCCTCTCAGTGATAAATGATATGGTGGATCTCAACGATAATTATATCAGTCCTACTTGATTCAAACCTGCATATGCAAAAAAAAAAAAGTCTGAAGTGATTAACTAAAGATTCAAACACTCTGCTCGGTGATCGAGGGATGTTCGGATGCTTGTTCTATAAATATCAAAGTTTGATGAATTAACTGAAGACTCAAACACTCGAGCAAATTTTTTAGTAACGAAATTGATTACCGATGGTCAAAGCAACTTTTTCTAAAGTATTCCAGTAATCAAGGTGGCAATCATCCAATTAGTGACTCCAAGGCTCGGCTTTTGACACCAAGATCATGGTAAGCAAGGAATAAGTGCTCACCACAATGTGGTCACTTACAGCTACACATGATTTCTCTGTGCTAATTGAATATTAGTTCTTTAGCACACCATTAGGTTCTAAAAAGGACATTCAAAAGCTAAATCTCATGGTTGAGAAGAGAAGGAATCAGAAACTGGTCAATTAAACAAACACCTTGCGTACGAGCAGATGCTTGCTCCATTTTCAAGTGCAAGCACAGTAAAATTACACAGGAAGCCGAACAAACAAAACAGTATAATTATAGAGATTAATCTACAAACTGTGAAGAACATAGAGAATTCTAACATCAATAATTCAAGGAGGAACCAGAAACTGGTCAATTAAACAAACACCTTGCGTACGAGCAGATGTTTGCTCCTTTTTCAAGTGCAAGCACAGCAAAATTACACAGGAGGCAGAACAAACAAAACGATATAATTATAGAGATTAATCTACAAACTGTGAAGAACATAGAGAATTCAAACATCAATAATTCAAGAAGGAACCAGAAACTGGTCAATTAAACAAACACCTTGCGTACGAACAGATGTTTGCTCCATTTTCAAGTGCAAACACAGCAAAATTACACAGGAGGCAGAACAAACAAAACGATATAATTATAGAGATTCATCTACAAACTGTGAAGGACAGAGAGAATACTTACATCAATAATTCAAGGAGGAATAACCGAGAGGAATGAACGAGTGAAGAATATGGAAAAGCCTGGAAGATGCCGTCAAGGTTGCTTGCTTGCCCACCATTCTTTTAGGTAGGCTTCGACCACATCACATGATGTGAGCGAGCATGGGAATAGATGGTGAACCTAAAGGAGAGAGGATTCATACGCCCACTAGCTAGCAAACAAAAGAATACATTCGGATCGATACATGTGATCGGTGATGCCTTCTAATATATCTAATCATCACAATGATGAACATAATTAACCTTCCTTCTCATGAGATAGAAATATTAATGAAAGATTGAAGGTGGATCACAACTTTAACAAATAATAATAATGATAATTAATGCAGTTTAGATTCGCAATGACAAATATCTCTTTATCATACAATTATTTGAAGCTGTCACAGTGATGTGAGCTGTCACTGTGAGGCATTGACCTTCCCTTCACTCGTCCCAATATATACACCCACTTGTTCTTCCATGTCCTCCACTTCTGTGCTTCTCTTTCCCCCACTACTCTGTCTCTCCTCCCCTGCAGTCGGAAGTGTTCTTCCTTCCTACCTTCACCATCACCTTCAGGAAGCTCTTAATGCAGCTTTTCTTTGCAGGCATAAGTGCTTCTGAGTCTTCCACCTGTAGATCTTAGTAGCTTTGTAGGCAAAAGTTCAGCTGGCTTGCTTTCTTCTCATCATTCCTTAGCGAGACGTTTATAAAAGCTTTCAGATCATGTAAGATTTGTTTCTTTCAGTTCAGAATTCAAGCCCCAAAAAAAACACAAAAAAATAGTGGTAGTAGTAATAGTAGGGTTTCATCTTATGATATCTGAGTGAAACTGCATCTGCTGTATCAAATCCTGGCTAGAATTCCTCCATTCTCATAGCAAAAGCTTTATAAAAACCATTAGATCATGTAACTTCGTCCCTTCTTAATCACTCTTCCCTCCAAAAAATAAAAAAAAAGACCAAAAATACACTGAAACCGAAGCCTTTGGCAATGCCGGAGCCGGAGACGCCGAACGTGTCAGCCCCGGCGACGCCGGGCACGCCGGGCGCGCCGCTCTTCAACTCGCTCCGAGTTGACTCGCTGTCTTACGACCGGAAGTCGATGCCGAGGTGCAACAGGTGCCTCCCGTTGGAGTCGTGGGCCTCCTCCCCCCACACGTGCTTCATCGAGCTCCCCAAGCCCGACGTCTCCCTCACCCGCAAGGTACGCCGCCCAGCAACACTCCTCTCGTTCGCGCATGTCTTCCCTCGTCATCATCATCATCATTGCTTCTTAAAAGACACCATATCTTACTGCTATAGATCAAGCATGACAGGGTTTAATTTATCTGAATTTTCAGTCACCAACTTCACTATTTTATTGCAGGTTTGGTTGAGAGTTCATATTTCTCAACTTACCATCTCTTCTTAGAGATTGACAATTTATTATTTCTCATGTCATCAAAGAAAAAAAATATATGAGTTTGTGAAAGCTCAAATCATGCATAAGTTTAAGGATTATAATAAAGTCTTTTTTAGATCATGAAATTCTATTTCTTTTCTCTCTCATTTTTTTATTATTTTTGCACCTTTATGTTGAGATTCCTCATCTGTTGATTTTTATTAGACTGGTCCTGATGGACTCAAGAAAATAAGAATAAATTCAAGAATCCATGCACTCTTCTTTACTTTCTTGAATTCATCTCTTTCCAAGAACAGATGGAAGATGCTGCATGGCTTTTCATTTCCCTTTCTTTTCCTCATCATAAGTGTGAGAGGAATCTACCGGCGACGCACAGCACACGGCCGTCAGTGACAGCACCGGGCACGAGTCCCATCACCCATCTTGCCTTGCATCGCGGCAGCATCTTAACCTCTTCTCTCTTTTGTCCTCAACTCCTGCTTCTGCGACCCTCCCCATTATTGACCACAACAAGAAGCACGCATGCATAGGGATTATACATCTTCGAGTAGGGTACGTTCCTGCCTGCCTCATCCCTAGAAGAAAAAGACAACTCTCATGGAATCTCCTTTCTCACAAATATGATTAGCTTCAAATTCAAGAAAATACTGTAATCCCTGTTAACATTCGAGAACTACATTTAAATCTGTGAAGCTTTTCCTTCCTCACAAGTATGGCTG